GTTTTAATCCATCGATCAATTCTGCCAACTTAATCAAGTTTAACTAAAAAATACACCAAAATTTGATGTTTTTGACATAAAAAATGTTATTACTGAAAAAGTAAATGAGATCTAAAGGAGTTTTTATATAGAAAATGTTTACAATTAATATCAAAATTATAATCCGAAGATGGTTTTGATCCATCGATCAATTTTGCCAACTTATTGTAGCTTAAAAAGCAAAAATACCTAAATTTGATGATTGCGACACAGAAGATGTTGTATTTCAAAAAGTGAAAGAGATGGAAATAAGTTTTTTAAACAGAAAACATACATAATTAAATCTAAAATNAATCGGTTTTAATCCATCGATCAATTCTACCAACTTAATCAAGTTTAACTCAAAAATACACCAAAATTTGATGTTTTTGACATAAAATAATGTTGTTACTGAAAAAGTAAATGAGATCTAAAGGAGTTTTTATATAGAAAATGTTTACAATTAACATCAAAATTATAATCCGAAGACGATTTTGATCCATCGATCAATTTTGCCAACTTATTGTAGCTTAAAAAGCAAAAATACCTAAATTTGATGATTGCGACACAAAAGATGTATTTCAAAAAGTGAAAGAGACAGAAATAAGTTTTTTAAACATACATAATTAAATCTAAAATCATAATCCATAATCGGTTTTAATCCATCGATCAATTCTACCAACTTAATCAAGTTTAACTCAAAAATACACCAAAATTTTATGTTTTTGACATAAAAAATGTTATTACTGAAAAAGTAAATGAGATCTAAAGGAGTTCTTATATAGAAAAAGTTTACAATTAACATCAAAATTATAATCCGAAGACAATTTTGATCCATCGATCAATTTTGCCAACTTATTGTAACTTACAAAGCAAAAATACCTAAATTTGATGATTGCGATACAGAAGATGTTGTATTTCAAAAAGTGAAAGAGATGGAAATAAGTTTTTTAAACAGAAAACATACATAATTAAATCTAAAATCATAATACCGAATCAGTTTTAATCCATCGATCAATTCACTAAAATGTGATGTTTTTGACATAAAAAATTTGATTACTGGAAAGTAAATAAGATCTAAAGGAGTTTTTATATAGAAAATGTTTACAATTAATAATATATAATATTGATAATATTCACAACTGATATTAAAATCATAAATAAATCACAATTTTCGTTACACTTGACAAGGTAAACAAATCATACATAACCTCAAATATTAAATTTTGACAGATTACACTCACCATGAATAAATAGTTCCAATTAAGCGCGGAAATGTTTATTACGATTTGATTTAGGTTTTGAGAAGTTGATTTTTTAGTAATAAATGGGTTTTTACATGGATAATATTCACAACTGATATTAAAATCATAAATAAATCACAATTATCGTTACACTTGACAAGATAAACAAATCATACATAACCTCAAATATAAAATTTTGACAGATTACACTCACCATGAATAAATAGTTCCAATTAAGCGCGAAAATGTTTATTACGACTTGATTTCGTTTTTAATAAGTTGATCTTTTAGTAATAAATGGGTTTTTACATGGATATTTTTTACATGGATAATATTCACAACTGATATTAAAATCATAAATAAATCATAATTTTCGTTACACTTGACAAGGTAAACAAATCATACATAACCTCAAATATTAAATTTTGACAGATTACACACACCATGAAGAAATAGTTCCAATTAAGCGCGGAAATGTTTATTACGAATTGATTTAGTTTCTAATAAGTTGATCTTTTAGTAATAAATGGGTTTTTACATGGATAATATTCCCAACTGATATTAAAATCGTAAATAAATCATAATTTTCGTTACACTTGACAAGGTAAACAAATCATACATAACCTCAAATATTAAATTTTGACAGATTGCATTTTCCATTAATAAATATTTTAATAAATAGTGATTTAGTTAAATAAATAGGTTTTTATATGGATAATATTCACGACAGATATTAAAATCATAAAATAATCATAATTTTCATTATACTTGACAACGCTGACATTTCGCACATAACCTAAAAATTCATTTTGACAGATTGCACTTACTACTGTTAAGAAAGGAAGAAATATGTGTAAATTGCATGAAGAAATCGAATCAGTTTTAACCAACCAACTTAATTTAAACGTGTGTGTTTACAACAACTCTTTCGGTAAGTTTAAATACTCAATCATTGTAATTAAGTTGTCCTTTCTTTATTATTCGCTCACATTCAAAGTCAAGATCATCAAAATCTACACAGAAAACCGCTAAACAATGTGCTTACTTGTGTAGGTGTGACTACAACAACTCGTTGAGCATTTCAGCACAACTTTCTAGGTCAAAAGAACGAAAAGAAGAATGTTTTTACTTATATTTAAAGATTATTTTTGTCGGAAAATTTCTCTCACAATCAATAGAAATTGGTTATTTTCCAAATTGATACGTAATTTCCATATTCTCTATGTAGGTTATCGTCGGATAATTTAGATTTTATTACAACATTGTTTTATGTGCATTTATTAACCCAGATTCAAAACTGACATAACCTTGCATATATTATGGAATCGAAACCCAAGAAATATCTTAATTGGTGTAATTAGAAAATTATCTACATTTACACGTAATTTAAATTCTATACAACACACAATTTCATCTTCAATTTACTTAATGGATGCGTTTAATAGGTAAAAATTTTCACCGTTTGCAATGGTAATTATTGTTGAGGAAACAGCTGCCAATACAAAAACGGTTCCGCAATCCGCAAACTGTTTGCTCTCTATACGATTTCGTTTCAATTACCCCAGATCGGTTTCTTGAAAAGCAACAGGAACAGAGAATTATTTTTTTAAAATAAATAATAAGCCACACGGTGGGGCTTTTATCTTCGTGATTCTAAGAAAACTTCTTATACTTACATTTAGTTAGGTAAGACGGTGACCAACATGATGTTATGGAAAAGTGAAACTTTACCATAACAAATCACTGAAAGAATTCTTATGTTTAAATCAAATCATAATAAATTGAAGTTAATCTTCAAAGAAATCTTTTTTTATTGAGAGTGTTATTAAAATCGCATTTGTGTTCTAATTCGGTTTATAATCATAGTAAATCAAGATATGCTCTAGATATTCTAAGCTCAGGAAATGAGTATTAAAAAAATTCTATTTTACTCTTAAAGAGGAAGTGAGCGAAGAACGAATTATTATTACAAATTGCATCTTACAACTTGAGCTGTTACACTTCAATTTTAAACGGGATTGAATTGGAAAGCTACGATTTTCATTTCGGTTAATCATTGAATAGAAATGCTAATCTCATACTATTAACTGTTTCGGAAAGAAAACATTTTCAAAAGGTCAAAATGAAATCAATAATTTTAAAACAATTTATACAAGAAAGTGTTAATGCAGGAAACTTGAACTTTGATATAATTTAACGTCAAACGTTCTTTTACAACTTCAAAAAGTTTCAATCCTTAATTACAAACCGTTTTCAGGCTCACAGCTTATTTGATATAGTTCAAAATAGTTCAAAATCTAAAGAGAAGTGAATTAAAAACAGAGAATTTTTAGACAAAATTTATTTATTTGTAAATTAAGTAAAAAACTTCATTTATGAAACAAATTGGTTTTTAACAATATACAAACTAGAAAACAACAATATTATTCAACTTTATGTGACAACCTATTTGATACAGTTGAATTTGATGATAAAATCATACACCAAGAAATGAAGTCAAAGCCCGGATATACAAGACCGCAATTAGACCCATATTAACTAACGTATTTATGTAGCAGAGAGTCGATCAGAAAGATCCAAAGCAAAAGGAATGCTGGAAACTACAGAAATGAAAATAGTGCGTAGAATAGTTGGGAAAACATTGATGGACGCAGAATGAAGTGAGAACATCAGACAGACTTGAAGAATTGGACAGAAAGAAGAAATGGAATGAGCACATCGACCAAATGACACGAATTGTGAAAATAACACGGGGCAAATCACCATCAGGATGACCTAGAAAAAGATGATCTATACGATTAGGGGTCAAAAAAGTTAATAAAAACAGGCAGTTATGCCTAAATACAGAAAGAAGAAGAATTCAGATATCCAACTTATAAAGTGCTATTGTTTTTTCTTTCAATTTGATGTGATTGCCTTTGGCATTTATCACCGCCTTTAGTTGATTTGGCATTGATTGGACCAGCTTTGTGGTTATTTGTGGCGTAATATTTTTCAAATAGTGCTTTTTTCAAGTCTTCTTTATTGAATATTTTACACTTTTGTATATTTTGATCCAACGTTGCCTATAGGTTCATATCGGACGACTGTGCTGGTGAGGGCAAGTCCAAATGAGTCACGATTGTACGATTCCTCATTTGTGTTTTGGATCATTGTCCTGATAAAAGCGAAAATTGCGTCGTATGCCTAGGTGTTCAGCATTTTGGACAAAATTTCGCTGTAGAATTTGAAGGTACATGTTTTTATCCATAGTTTCGTCACTAAAAACTACATCTCCTACACCGGCGGCAGACATGCAGGCTCAAACCATCACACTTCCACCATCATGCTTAACTGTAGCTTTTTAATTCTCCTTTTTTAGTTCCGTATTTGGTTTGCTTCATACCTAGGACAAACCGTCCAACCCAAAAATGTTAAACATTGACTCGGCGGCAAAAATTACCGCATTCCTAAACTCTAGGCTATTCGAAATATGTTCCTCTGCAAAGTTAAGCCGACTTACTTGATTCTTTTTATTTATAAAGGGCTTCTTACGTGCTACTCGCCCATGGAAGTTATGTTGGCGAAGTACTTTTCTAACTCTTCTTGGATCTCGACAGCCAATTTTGATTAGCCTTAATTTACTGAATAATCAATAATATCTCTCCTTATTTATTATACTATTGATATGCCTGGTAATTGATGACTTGACGAACACCTTAACAAAAAATGGATGGTAAATATGGCACAATCATAACTCCACAAATGCAGAAAGCCCTAGTACTTACCAGCATTTGATGCAAAAGCAATGGGTTCAGCATCAATCCAAACAAAATCGAAATAGCCCCTTTCACTCGGAGAAGAAAGCTACAATTGAGAGCACCCTCCATTGAAAGCAAACTATTATCCTCAAAACAGAAGTTAAATACCTAGGGGTAATACTAGACAGTAAATTAAACTGGAACTCCCACATAAACAAGGTGAGGAAAAAGGTCATTATGGCTAACCAGATCTGCCACAGGCTCCTCGGAAGGAACTGGGGTCTTAAACCACGGATGACTCATTGGGCGTACGTAGCAATAATCAGACTCATGGTCGCCTATGCCTCACTGATTTGGTGGCTAAGACAAATCATAAGACAGCACAACAACAGCTGGCATCAATTCAGCGGTTAGCATGTCTTAATATAATGAGTGCAATGAGATCCTGTCCGACGGCTGCTCTTGAAGCCTCATGCTCTTCGTTCAAACTCATGCAGGGTAACCTCAGAGGACACCTCGAAATCCTCATGGACCCATGTCTAAATCACTTGATTGAAATTAAAAGGAGCACATATCGACAGAACACAATTGCGACTAGCCATATTTAGAAGCAGGGATGATTGGGCGAAGGGTGGACTTCAATTAAAAAGAGGAGCTCTTGCCTGGTACACGGATGCTTCAAAGACAGTTGGATCCGGAGTAAGTATGGGCATCAGCGGACAAAATAGCTGCATAAGTTGCCCCTAAGCTCGGATACAACCATTTTTCAAGCTGAAGTTAATAATAATAATAATTCATTTATTATTCACAACTTAATAACGAAATTTGTATAACATTCTTTACATTTTTTAAACTAATGTATGAACAAACGGTGTCCTTGTCGCTCTTCCACAAACACCAACAACAACAAAAATATTAACAAAAAAAAATTCAAGAAAGAAAGTAACCCATTGTTACAAAAAAAACATTTGCAATACAGTAACAATAACAATAATTCCTGTATTAAATTGCACAATGCAATTTTCTTCGATTTATCATATTTAGCCAACTCACTTCAACCAATTTGTGACTGATGTGTTCCGTGACTGTTTTTCTCATAGCTTAGTAAAAAGTCGATTTCTGTGATAATTTAGATGCTCTAAAATCACGATATGCTTTATCTCTAAGTTTTTGCATGGACCTGATAGGGTCGGTAATCCATGGTGACTGGGGTTTTACAAATTTACAGGTCCTTAGTGGACAATGCATCTCCAGAACACTAAGTATGGCGCTGCTTAAGAAATTTACCTTAGTGTCGACATCTGGCATGTCAAAAATACAGAAAAATTAAATCTTGTACAGATCCTCCATAAATCTATCATACTGAAAATCACCGAAACAGCGAATGGTCCTGACTATGGGCGCCTTTGGCGGAGACTTCAGCTTCAATTTACCATAGATTAAAAAGTGATTAGAAATCCCAGCCTTCTCCAGGACACCTACCTCCTCAACCATATCGACGTCGGACATCAATATTAAATTAATCAAGAAGACGTCTGCGTTACACGTGTCGGTTTATCTACTATTTGACACAATCCAACAGAGCACAAAAGATCCTGGAATGCCTTAATCTTTCGATCAGTTATGTCCATCATATCAATATTGAAATCCCCCAAGAATTATCACCCTATCTGCCACAGGCAAGACAACGGCGAGGGAGTTTTCTAATTGATCAACAAACAAGTTATAATTGCAACCAGGCCTATATAGCACCGCTACGGCCAACCATAGCCCGTCCAGCCGTATCTTAATCCACAACTGCTCCACTTCATTGCCCACATCAAACACAGTAGCCCTCAGCTCCCTTTTTACGTACACAGCAACCTACCGCTCTTGTAGTTTCTCTACAAAACAAAATACATATATAGAAAAAACAAATCAAAAAACCAAAACAAATCAAAAATAAATGTATACCGCAGATCATCTCCCCTCCGAGACATCCGACTTCTTGCCATAAACTTCTGCACCGTTTTGAACCTTGAAAAGGGACTGAAAGGGGCATCGATAAGCATCTTTATGGGCAGTCTAGGCATGATACAGACGTGATAAAACTCCTCAGGGACAATGAAGTTACTTTATGATTCGTTCCAGCTCACAAAGACATTATGGGTAATGAAAAGGACTAAAGTCTCTAGGACTAAAGTGCGGTCTAAAGACGCACGGCTAAACCCGAATATTTCTAGTTCTAGGTCTAGTGTTAGTTCTAGTTTTACACTAGCATGTTTTAAAACCAATCTCAGTTCTCGCTGTTCAACGGTTGTTCGACGACCCATTTTTTAACCCTTTGTGTCCCGACGCTACTTTAAAGTACCGGTAGTTTTAAATACTCATTTTGAACTGTAGTAATCTATTCGCCGCATTTAAAGCTGTCGGTACTTTCTACTATACAAGAAAGAATCAGTATAAAAAATGACACAATCCGCATTGTAGGGTTTTTAGGTATATTTAAACTTATTCGTCCAGATGTGAGGTTAGAAGTTTAGTGAAAAGTGTTGATGAATTTTGTTGTTCAAAAAGGTATCTCTTTGAAAATGGTTATTAAGGTGTGATTATTACAGATAAATTTTTAAATTAGCATCTTTTTTCACACTTTTAGGTTACACGAAAATGTAAGTTTTGTTTCAACTTTTTTTTTCTGAATATTTTTCCAATCCAACCCAACAATCATTATACATCATTTTAAAGAGAAAGCTCTGAGCTTTAATTTAGAATAAGTCTCATTCCTTAATTTCAATAAATACGGCTTCCAGAAATTTTTAAATTAGCATCTTTTTTTGACACTTTTAGGTTATACGAAAATGTAAGTTTTGTTACAACATTCTTTTTCTCAATATTTTTCCAATCCAACCCAACAATTATTATACATCATTTTAAAGAGAAAGCTTTGAGCTTTAATTTAGAATAAGTCTCATTCCTTAATTTCAATAAATACGGCTTCCAGGAATTTTTAAATTAGCATCTTTTTTGACACTTTTAAGTTATACGAAAATGTAAGTTTTGTTACAACATTCTTTTTTTCAATATTTTTCCAATCCAACCCAACAATTATTATACATTATTTTAAAGAGAAAGCTTTGAGTTTTAATTTAGAATAAGTCTCATTCCTTAATTTCAATAAATACGGCGTCCAGGAATTTTTAAATAAGCATCTTTTTTGACACTTTTTGGCTATACGAAAATGTAAGTTTTGTTACAACATTCTTTTTCTCAATATTTTTCCAATCCAACCCTACAATTATTAGACATCATTTAAAAGAGAAGACTTTGAGCTTTAATTTAGAACAAGTCTCATTCCTTAATTTCAATAAATACGGCTTCTAGGAATTTTTAAATTAGCATCTTTTTTTGACACATTTAGGTTATACGAAAATGTAAGTTTTATTTCAACTTTTTTTTTCTCAATATTTTTCCAACCCAATCCACCAATTATTATATATCGATTTAAACAGAAAGCTTTAAGTTTCAATTTAAAATAAGTTTCATTTCTTAATTTCAATAAACACGGCTTCCAGGAATTTTTGAATTAGCATCTTTTTTGACACTTACATTATGCGAAAATGGTAGTTTTTGCTCAATATTTTTTTTTTCAATATTCTATCAGATTTTCGTCGTTCTCTAGCTACAGGTCTGATAAATAAATATTTAAATTTACTACGTCCACGAAAATGTCGTAGCGCAAATTCAAAAGAAAGAGGAAGTTGTGAAAATTGTTCTGCTAAAGCAACTCAAGTACCATTATTGGGGGATTGCATATTTTGCTAAAATTGATTCCAAGGGCCTTTCTGAGTGTATTTTGATAGCGTTTTAATTCTGTCGCAGTTTCAAAATTTTTTACTTCTTGGGACACAAAGGGTTAATTGTTAATATACATAGCAACAAATGTACGTCATGACATTATGACATCTCTTTAGATTTTAAACTATCTAGTGGATCTAGTGTATCAAATGAGCTGTGAGTTACCGTAATTTTCAAACGTCAAATTAAATTAAACTTTTTACAACTTGATTTGTTACACTTCAATTGAAGAGGAAATAGAATTGGAAAGTTAAGATTCTTATTTCGGTTAATAGTTGAATAGAAATGCTAATTCGAAAATCTTCATTGCATATTTACGTATTTATAAGAAATGTACATCATCGGAACTTTCTCGCAGACTAAAATAGAGCTAATAAACAACACTTTCTGTTATAACCCGTCTTGGGCGTATACTAATTACTCTTATGTCAGCGAGAACACCATTTCTCCGGATGGTAAATCCAGTAATTTACTTAGATACACAAGTTTCCCTTATATTCTCGTTTTTCCTCCTGTTACCGTAATAAGTGTGAGAATTTATGTGTAACCACACGCGATCTATCTTTTAAATTTATTTCTAACTTTATGTAATACGATCAATTAATTAATTAAAAAAGAAATCAAATCAAACTTCAATTTTTAAGTGTTTTATAACAAAATTAGTAAAACAGAGCAAGTTCTCATCGTTGTTAAAGTCAAGCGATTACAAGGAACAATGGGTGAAATACAATTTTCCGCAATTCCTTTCTATTTCCATTGTTCACAAACGTAATTGATCGATTGTCGCTAATTCAATTTCCATTTTGAACGCTTTTAAAGTGGATAATAACTTTAAAAATGTATACAATGCAACGAGTTTAGTCATCGCCCTTTCTCTCTTAAAATGACGTTGAAATAGAAATTTCAATTTCTCCATGTAACGTACATTAGAATTTAGAAGAGCAAAAAATAGTTTACACCATAAAAACCACAAGACAATAATAAAGATTCTTGTTAAATTATCACAAAACAAACCACAACAAAAATTTATTATTATTATTTTTTTATTTTTATACTGACTTTGATTTCTTTTTGTTTTATAGAGCCAGTGAATTAATAGCTTTAATGGCTTTATCGACAACATTCTTTTTGTTTCTGCATACGAGAGATTTAAATACAAGATTGCGCGAGATGGAGGTGAAATTGCAACCAGAAGACATTCTTACGGCCAATCAAATAGTTTCAGGTACGATTATAATTTGTAATAATGATTTTGCGGTTGTAAAAAAAGGTGTAAACTAAAAGCTTTCTAAAAAGCATTAATTGAACCTGAACCGGAGACGTTGTGTTGTTATTTACCCTTTGTTTTAAAGGTGATAGCGCTCCCGCAACGGCCACAAGAGTAAAAACGATGATGAAGCTTCTGCAAAGCACTGGAAAGGTAAGTGGAGCACGAAAAAGTCGTAAAAACAGTTTTTTTTTATATAAAAAATCGTTAAAATTTGGTACAATTTATCTTTGAACTATCTTTTATGACCTCGTAAAAGTTTAATATTTCTTTTTGACCTTATTTTAAAAAAATATCTATTTAGGAAATACGAAATTTGGTATGATCTAACTTTAAACGTTCTTCTATAACCCCAAAATGTTTTAACTCTTAATTCCTAACCGTTTAGGAGAAAAAATTTTTTTTATAATTTCATTTTTGAGAAACGTCAAATTGAAATCAGATTTTTAAAAAATTGTATTCAAAAAACTGTTCATGTTGGAAACATGAAATTTGGTATGATCTAACCTCAAACGTTCTTCTATAACCCCAAAAGGTTTCAATTCTTAATTCCTAGCTGTTTTGGAGAAAAAATTTTTTTTGTAATTCCATTTTCAAGAAACGTCAAATTGAAATCAGCTTTTTAAAAAATTGTATTTAAAAAACTGGTTGGAACCATGAAATTTGGTATGATTTAACCTCAAACGTTCTTTTATAACCTCAAAATGTTTCAACTCATAATTCCATGCCGTTTTGGAGAAAAACATTTTTTTGTAACTTCATTTTCGAGAAACATCAAATTGTAATCAGATTTTTAAAACATTTTATAGAAAAAACTGTTCATGTTGGAAACATGAAATTTGGTATGATCTAACCTCAAATATTCTTTTATAACCTCAAATTGTTTCAGCTCATAATTCCATTCCGTTTTGGAGAAAAAAAATTATTTGTAACTTCATTCTCGAGAAACGTCAAATTGAAATCAGATTTTTAAAACATTTTATACAAAAAACTGTTCATGTTGGAAACATGAAATTTGGTACGATTTAACCTCAAACGTTCTTTTATAACCTCAAAATGTTTCAACTCATAATTCCAAGCCATTTTGGAGAAAAAATTTTTTTTGTAACTTCATTTTCGAGAAACGTCAAATTGAAATCAGATTTTTAAAACATTTTATACAAAAAACTGTTCATGTTGGAAACATGAAATTTGGTATGATCTAACCTCAAACGTTCTTTTATAACCTCAAATTGTTTCAGCTCATAATTCCATTCCGTTTTGGAGAAAAAAAATTTTTTGTAACTTCATTTTCGAGAAACGTCAAATTGAAATCAGATTTTTAAAACATTTTATACAAAAAACTGTTCATGTTGGAAACATGAAATTTGGTACGATCTAACCTCAAACGTTCTTCTATAACCTCAAAGTTTCAACTCTGATTTTCTAACCGTTTAGAAGAAAACATTTTTTTTGTAATTTCATTTTTGAGAAACGTCAAATTCTAAACAGGTTTTGAAAAGATTTTATACAAGAAACTGTTCTGGTTAGAAGCATGAAATTTAGTATGACCTAACCTCAAACGTTCTTTTATAACCACAAAAAGTTTCAACTCTTAATTTCTAATCGTTTCGAAGAAAAAATTTTTTTTGTAATGTCATTTTTGAGAAACGTCAAATTCTAATCAGATTTTGAAAAAATTTTATACAAAAAACTGTTCATGTTGGAAACATGAAACTAGGTATGATTTAACCTCAAACGTTCTTCTATAACCCCAAAATGTTTCAACTCCTAATTCCTAACCGTTTAGGGCAAAAATTTTTTTTTGTATCTTCATTTTCGAGAAACGTCAAATTGAAATCAGATTTTTAAAAAAATTTATACAAAAAACTGTTTATGTTGGAAACATGAAATTTGGTACGATTTAACCTCAAACGTTCTTTTATAACCTCAAAATGTTTCAACTCATAATTCCAAGCCATTTTGGAGAA